GGGGAGCTGAAAATAGGGCCGAGTCCCACAGTAGTTAATGTTTGGATTGGTATTTACAGTACTGGGGATTGAACGCAAGGCCTTAGCCCTGAGCTACATCCCCAGCCACCATTTTATTTTTTAGTTTTGAGACAGGGTCTCTCTTAGCCACACAGGCTGGTCTTAGACTTGTGATCCTTCTGCCTCAGCCTCCCAGAGTGCTGGGACTTTTTTATTTTTATCACTTCTTTGCCCTTTGTGACATAGTTCAGGTGTTATTTCTTGTGTGACTCTCCGTTCAGGGAGTGATTCTGGTTCCTCTGTGCTCAGAACATGCATAGTCTATGGCTGTCACATCCATGGTTTGGTAATTATTTGCATACAGCCCGCTCCCTGTTACAAGGCAGGTGCCCAGTAATAAGTTCACCCCCCTGCATTTAATCCCATAAGACAAGGTCATGTATATTTCAGGAAGCTGTGCAGTCCTGCGTGGGTGATTCTCTACCTTAGATGAGGTAGAAGAACATGACCTTGGAAGGAGGTGGCACCAGGTCACCTTCGTGTCTCCTTCTACACAGAGGTTCTGCCGTTCTCCCTGCAGCTCCTTGTAGAAACAGCATAAAGTCTTAAGGCAAATAGGCTGAAAATTGTGGTTGGGAAAAATTGCTTAGTTCCGTGTTGCTTTGAAAAGTCTCTCTCCCTTTGAAAGAGCTCAGTGCTAACGGGGACCTCATGCAGGGTAATGTGATGGTGGCACTGAAAGACGCCGGGCACCTCAGACTCAGGGTGGCGTAGACAGTCCGGGAACAAGGCACTGCTGCCAGTAGGTGCTGTCACAGAGCAGCAGCAGTGTTTCTCATTTGGACAAAATTGATATAAAGACTATAATTTAATGCTGTGGGGATTCCTATTTCAAATAGATTTTATTACCTTGCTAAAGACTTGGTGAAAATGGCCTTCTTATTTTTGGTGGAGGGGGAAGAAGTGTAGCTTTGGGTACAGAAGAAACGGAGCACTCAGTGCTGCTCCTGTAGAGGTGACCGGAGGGTGAGGATATTTCCGGAAAAAAACACTCAATACACAAGACCTTTAAACATGTATTTCTATAAGTACAGTGAGCTGTGCTGAGCTGGTCATCTGTCCTAATCATTACTCCCCTTGGATAGGTTAGGAAACTTGTCACAGGCCATAAACACTCACTTTTTAATTTAGGGAAACAGTTTGAGGTCCAGTGTTGTTAATCAAATGGCTTTTTTTTTTTTTTTTTTTGGTGGAACCAGGGATTGAACTCAGGCCCTTGCGCTTGCCAGGGAAGCACTTATTCCGCTGAATCATCTCCCAGCAATCAAATAGCTTTGAAACGAAAGTGATTATAAAAAATACTTCATAAGCCCAAGTTAGAAATATTTCACCCTCCTGGTTTCCAGAGGAAATGCCCCTTGGTTGTGAAGCAGGACAAGCCCCGCAGGCAGCTCCATTTTCATGTAAAGGACAGCTGCCAGGGTGAGCTGGGACTGAAGAACTCGGCTTCTTCATATACCCAGCTATGATTTACGTGGCCAGAGTTCACCCAGTCACAGCTGGCGGCGGGTGCCCTTGTGTGTGTCAGCTCTCTGCACAGTTGGTTAATCATTTTATAATGTCCCATCCCATGCCAGGACCCAGAGTAAAGCTGTGAATGACAAAGAGCTTTACAGAGTTTCAGGGTCATTTTTATTTATTTTTCTCGAGCAGAGATTCCTAATGTGAATCAGAGTAGTGTCAGAAGTCTGTGAAGTGGAATAGGAAATAGATGGCAGCCTTTCCACTCATTTCCTACTAAATTGTAACGTTAAATAATTATGTAAGGCCAACAATCCCTACATAGTATTGTCTCTCTAGTGTAAAAACCTGCAAGAAAGAGTGTATAAAATCTGAAGGGTGCAGTAGATACTGTGAAAAGGGAATGAATCTATTTAAAAAGAAGGAATTATTGAGATGAGAAGGCCAGGAGAGGGAGCGGGCGAAAGAGACCTATCTGTATGCAAGCAGGGTGGTTTAGACAATTGTACTGTGGGTTTCTGTAGGCCTGTGGAAAGGAGCAGTTAATGCTTAATTAATTTTTTGTCTTCTTTCTTCATTATTTTTCCCTTTTCTCTTTTTTCCAAGTTTGCATGTATATATCTAGTAATCTGAAAACTCACTTGAAGTTAACACGATGCAATACACCAAATACTGTCAAGTTCATATTACTTCATTTAGTGAAATTCTATCATTTGTAATTTTTTCTTTTTAAATAGTATTTTGTATTTTTGTATTTTTAAAATGCCGTAGTGCTGGGGAGGTGGCTCAGTGGAATAAGCACTTGCCTGGCAAGCACAGGGGCCTGAGTTCAATCCTTGGTTCTGCCAAAAAAAAAAAATTAAAAAAATAAAAAATCCGTAGTGATATTGTCACCCACCTAACTTGGGTGTCTTAGAATATTGTTTACTCTTCACTACTTCAGGATTCAGATGAGCCCATTAGGGGCTCCTCTTTAATGTGCTCACGTGGGACCTCAGGTAACGCTGAGTTTTAATATTTTAGAAACTTTTATAGAAAGTCCCTGACTTACAAATGAACTTCATCTGGGAGTGCT